AATTTCGAAGAGAAAATTAAATATTTTTGTACTAAACCTGTTTCGGGTAAAAGTAAGTATCTATCAACCTATACACAAAAACATTCACAGCAAATACATGTTCCAAACACAACACTATCGATAGTGTTCGATTTTGCTTTAGTGTTGAATTTTGTCAAAGAGTATCAGTACCGTATTATCGTGGACAGACGTGACATTTGACGTGATGTGACACTTATTGGGAATGAGCTAGTCAGATAGATAATATTAAGTGTTTACCAATGATTTTTATCCATGGTTGGGGAATAAAGGTTGGCAAAGTCGCTATTAACTATACAATACATTTTATTTTGCTTTGATCCAGAGTCCTTCGGCTTACTATTTATCATTATTATGTCACTAAAAAGAAAATCAAATTAATTTAAAAAAATACAGTCGAGCTGTCTATAATATTGATGTTATGTTATGTACTTTACCTTGCGCAAAACAACTACCTTTAGATCATACAGCTTGGTCTGATTTACATTTTTTTAAAATTTATCATTCATCATTACATGCTTGCGAAACGATTTGGATATCGTTGGTATTAATACAATGTTTCCAATCATGTACTGGCATGTGAAAATATATGTGTTGTTTCTACGTTAATATATTAATACAGAGATATTAATATCTCAGTGTCTTTTGTTGAGAGTTAATTTATTTGTAAGTGAATATGCTCGCTTTATAAAGTGTTCACAATTTTTTTTAGAAAGAGCCTCGAATCCTATGTGGAATTTCTTTGAAACAATTGAGGAGAATCATTTATATATGTGCTTGGGTTGCAACAAACAGTTATCGATTTACCCCCATAATATCGCTAATTTGAAGCGACACATTAAAATGAAGCACAAGAAACAGTACGAATACATGATGAAATATTTGACATCGCGCAAAAGTTGTATTGAAAGTAAGTAATTGCCGTTGATATTATCATTATAGAAATTAAAAAGTAATACTTTGTGATGAAACGTATGGTTTCTTTAGACTAGCCTTGCTTCTGGGTGGTTTCCATTGTAGTGGTAATGTCCATTGAACTTACTCTAATATGCGATGTAAACTACAAAATATGTACATATGATACGGGCGATAATTCTAAAATATGGTAAAAATATGTAGGAAAACCCACTGTTTACAAATAAACCACAATAAAAAAAATCGACAATTTCATTCTTCGTTACTCTCTTTTACATTTCTCTTAATGTTAATTTTATTTTATTTATATATAGTATAACAACATACGTTTAACACTCTTTGAATAGGCCAATTACAATTATCCACTAAAATAATTACTGACAATGAAGGTATGATATTGAGAATAAAAACAAAAATTAAGGATAAATAAATTTAAATGAAATTGAATATCTTGTCTCTTACAAAAGAGAAACAATACGAGGAAGTGAGAGAAAAAGAACATTAAAATAAGATATATAGTACATGAACATCAATACATATTAATAATAAAATCATACATACATTAAACATATATACACAACACTATTATATATTTAATATAGAAGTATATAATGTCATACTATAATTTTGTACAATACACAATTTAAATTTCAAAATTAAAACGCGAAAAAAATCTTTCATCTTGGATTTAGAAATGAGTGCCATATTCGTTATGAGGATCGCCAAATGCCTTGAAAATGATACCCATATTGCATTTATTTGAAAAGTCATGTCCGCCATCTTGGATTTAAAAATAAATGGTATATTCGTAATGAGCACATCCAAATACTTCGAAAACGATACCCAACTTGCCATTATTTGGAAAATCGTGCCCGCCATCTTGGATTTAGAAATTAGGAAAGTCTTGTCCGCCATCGTGTATTTATATATTAATGCCATTTCCGTATGGATTACCAAAAACAAATTTTTGAACATTCTTGTCAACCATCTTGGATTTAGAAATTAATGCTACATTCGTAATAAGCACTCTCAAACTCCTAGAAAACGTCTATAATTCTCAATCGACATTGTCGATTGACAGTAACGATCGACAATGTCGAGCAAATCTGTAGTTACCTTAATAAATACTACCCAGTTTTTATTTAATTCATATATGAACAAAAACCTAAAAGCGAGTTTAAGCGCGACTATTGAATTTGATTATATAAATAGCCTGATATTATCTGTGGATAAACACATCAAAAATACACGATAACAATAAAGAACCTAAACCTGAAAGTTATTTATAAACGAATTTGGAGAACTGACGATGACTTTTTTAGTCAGTGTTAGTTCCCTGAAATAAGTTAAGTTGAGAACTTTTGAGTCTGGGCAAGACAATTTCTTTAAAATGAGTGTATGATGAACAAGAATAATGATTTTTCACGTGAAACTAGTGAAGGCAAATACTAAATATATTCCGTAAAAATAGCTAACGCAAATTCCCTACAATGTTGTCGCGGCGGTGTATATTGGTAGAAATATTGCAACCGTCGCGATATTGCCTATTCTCAAGAAATTACGCAATAATTTTATTTTGAAACAGAATATCAAAATGGGGAGAAAAAAATCCGTTACTTTGCAACATTTTCGGATCTTGTTGCAGCGAAATTAATTTTCCGTTTTAGGGTCGTTTTCAGATAACCACTAAAATGTGTCCCTTTCAATAACTTTTATGTTATTATATGGATGCTAAGCATTATTTATTTAATATGATTGCTTGCTTACTTAGTCTGTGTTACACATAAAAAGACTACTTTACTACGCCACAGTAATAAATAAAAGTTAAAAAAGTGGGCAATTTCTCATTCATGGGAGCCGGTCCCACGTCGCCCTAATTTTAAGAAAACAAGAAAAAAAATTAAACATTCGTGGAAATCGCAATATTTCCCATCAAGGATAAACTATAATAACTTACACGTCGAAAACATACCGTCACTTACCAATTTTATTACAAACAAACATGTTTTCTTGGGAATACAAAATGTGTTTCAGTTCTTCTTATCATTAGTGTCAATTCAACTAAAAGCCTCCTAATAACAAAAGTTCATACCGCATCACTTTCACCCTTCGCACACGTGAGAAGGGGCTCTTGTCGGATTGGAGTGTACACAGTGAAGTAACCTGTGCATCTTTTTTGCAAAAAATCGACTTAAATACCGATTTCAGCGCTAGTGACTAAATCGTTCACATTTATGTAAAACAATCTATCTAAATAAGTATTAAGTAATAGTTTTATAAACTTTTTTGTACATCAATTAGACAAAGGGAACATTAAAATCCATGCACTTTTATAACGGTCCAGCATATTTTACACACTTGACAATTAAAAATGTATCCAAATATCATTATTGTCGCTCTCATTCTTGTCTACTTTTAAGTCATATAGTTACTTTAAGCCAAACATTTACTTGAAATATAACAATTAGATGGTAATAGTGGTGGCGATGACGGTGGTGATGATGACGATGATGATTGTAGCGATGATGACGATGGGTGTGATGATGATGTGAATGGTAATGATGCTGATGATAATGGTGATCATGATGATGATGTTGATGATGGTGATGACGATATGTTGATGTACAACAAAGTTTATATGACATGAACAAAATACTTATTTAGATTTATTTTATAATTACATATACATAGATCTTCACTTCATTGGTCTTACACGGATGAGAAGGATTTTGATACAAGAAGTTATATTAAAATATTTGTTACATATTAAATGTTGTTAAATGTTCTTTTGTGAACGATAAAATGTGTGTTGTAATAATAATTTCCCATTACTGTGCAGTCTTTCTCATTTATATTTATGAGAAAATCATTCGTGTTACTGCAATCTCATTCGTGTGACCTAAAATATCGTTTTTTGTTGTGTTTAACTTAAATATTTCTATGATTTTATAATTATTGACATTGCTTGAACTTATTTGTACGTTTAAGACCTTAAAACAAAAAAAAGGGTTTTACGAAAATCACTCAAAAAGTGCCATTGTGATTCGGACAGTGAAATTCACTCTTTATTGAATATTTACATAAAAATACAAGTTGAAACGCGTTACTTCCTTGTGGAATGTGATGTTAGTGTCTATTTTATGTTTGTCTGATCTATTTTTACATCCATTTACCGCACATTTCGTCATATTTAGCAAAAATTAAATATAAATATTTAGCAGAAATATGTAATTACTAATTACATGTTGATCCGTGTCCTACTTATAACATAACTGCGAACTTTGGAAGATTAAATTATTTTTTATAAAATCAAGTGACGGGACGAACAAGTCGTGCACCTCATGCTAAGAGACACGCCTGTCCATAACAAATGCAGTGCCACTCAAGAGCCTTAAATCACAAAGATCTGAAGGGCACTGCCACTGCGCCCGTCACCCTGCGACACAAGTTGGCAAGTCCCATGTGCATGTAATTTCACCAGCATCATTACCCTTCAATGTTGACATTTCTGCTTGGCGGTAGAAATAAGTAACGTGGCAGTACTTCCCTAGACGAACTTTTTCACAAGGAACTTTACTGCTGCTATTATTATCCCCATATTCAGATTCTTAGCCATAGAAATATGATATTCTGTATTCCAGGCGAAGAAGAAGCACCACTTAGCTTTGACAAATACTATTTCAACCTTGAAAGTGAAGGACAGTACAAATGCAAGAAATGTTCAGAAGTAATACAGAGCACCGAAGAAGACCAGTCGTCCTTATTTAACCACATCAAAGATAATCACCCAGACCAGATATTGGCGTATCAGGAGGAAGAAAATGCTGAATACAACATTGTGATTCTCAAAAATGATGATGTTACAACGATTGGACAGTGAATTTATGGGTTTTCGGTAAAGGTTTTTGGATTGATTACGTTCTTACAAAGGATGCCTGTGTAGTACTCGTATATTATATGCGTTAGTGTATTAAACTAAGTCTTTTCATAGGTTTAGGTCTTAGGTTGGTCAGAGCAAAGACAATTTGTTTAATTAGGGAGTTTCGGATGGTTCAAACTCACGTCGTGCTTTGCGTATTCAAACACTTCCTTAAGGATTTTTAGTAGCAGTAGCGCATGGGACTTGTAGAGTTATGTCTCAGGGTGTCGAGCGCAGTGGCAGTGCACCTCAGATCTTTGTGATTTGAAGTTCTGAGCGGTACTGCAACTGTTATGGATAGGCGTGTCGCTTACTATGAGGCGCACGACTTGTTCGTCCCGTCACTTAGTATGTGAGAAAAAAAAAATATTATTGTATTATGTTATATTATTGTTATTTATTTACCGAATTATTTTTTCAGGTGGCTTGGATAAATTTATACCCACATTGAAAGGCAATCGTTTACTTATGCTTAACGGATACACTTTTAATAGCAGTAAACGAAATTATTTCTATTGCTCTAAAAAGAAAGGCGGTTGTAAGGCTAGACTTAAACTCGGCAGCGGTGAAATTGTCTGTGGAAGCTCTGAACATTCTCATGCGCCACCAAAGTATCATGTTACAAAGTCAGGACATTATGTTAAGGTTGGGTACTGAAATTGCGAATTAACTTCGTAAGCTCAAAATTTAACTTTACACGTTGTTAATAAACACCATAATATATGATTTTACTTATGTAACGAAAGAAAGAAAAACGTTTATTCATTAAATTGAGTCCCTGTACACACTTAAATTTATACTTAACACTAAACCAATAAATGGCTGCTTGTTAATAAGGGTGTGTAGTGGCGCAAAAGAAGAAAAGGATACGACTCAGCAGTATTTCTATTTCAGGCGAAACAGACGCTGATTTTTAGTCGTTCCTAACATGCTCTGTGTATCCTCTGCTTTATAACTAGGGCTCTTCATATTGTGGCAGATTCTTGTTCCGATCTGATTTCCGGTGACTGCACTTGTCCATTGAAAAAGTCACAACTGTTAAGTATCTGGGTATTACTATTGATGACCGCCTCTCCTTCAGAGATCATATTTTAAATCTCACACGAAGAGCCCGAAAACTCACATACATCTTTAAAAATCTTCGACATGCTATGGATTTTAAATTATTCAAATTGGTTTATTTGGCACTTTGTCAATCTATTCTATCGTATGGTATATCGACTTGGGGAGGAGCTGCAAAAACCCATATGTTGCAATTGGAGAGGGCACAAAGACTAATTTTAAAAACGAGACTCTTTAAGCCATGCTTATACTCCACGATTAGCCTTTTCCACGACGCCAAGATACTCACAGTTCGACAATTATATATTCTGTCCACACTTTATTAAGACAACATGAGCAAATTAAATACAATCCTGAACATTCCAACACTCAAAAGAGAAGGAATTACATTGTCTGCCACACAAAACCACACAGGACGTCCTTTGCACACAGGTTTTTTTACTTTCAAGGGCCTAGACTATATAATTACTTAAATAAATCACATAACATCTACAATATGGTAAGATGGAAATGTAAAAATACTATATCTGCTTACTAAGACGTATGATAAAACAGAGAAACTTTTGACTATAGCATCATAAAGGTCTATTCACATGCGCGCAGACACACACACACACACACACATACAGAATATCACGCTCACTCCCTCACACACACACTAATCCACCCACCTAATACACACAAATACCCAAACACACACACTCACACACACACACACACACACACACACACACACAAATTACACCCACACACTGACTCTTTCTCACGCTCACACACACCCACACCCACAAACGAAAACACTAACTTTTTAAATTACTCCCTATTGTACAAACACACATACCTACTATGTGAAAAATAGACCTAAGTAAAGAATACTCTAACCGAGAGGTGGAGACCAGGAGTCCTAAGATAGTCCTAGTTTAGGCTCCTGTATCTCAACTTGTTAATTCTGGCTGTAAATTAGTTTGTGATCGATATTTGTGGGAGAAAATAAACAACTATTAATTAATTTACTATTAATTAATCGTAACTTAGTAGTTTGGTAATATGAAGCATCACATTCGTAGCAAACATCCTTGTGTTTATGATAAGGAAACGAATGATGTGGTTGGTACCAGGATCGAAAATAAAGATATCCCGGCTTCTGAGACCAAAGAGTATTTAGAAGTCGTGGAACAGTTTACAACAAATAAATTCGAAGAACCAACTTGATCACATGCACTATTCTATGGTAATATTATAAATATTTCAGGATGCAGGAGACTTCAGACAAAGATGATTAAGTGTTAAGTCGATTTCATTATAATGATCCTGCCAGTACCATTTTATTGCCTCCGAAAATTATGTTAAGGCTTGATTGATTTACTTTTATCCTGTATTTTCAATTAAATTTTTCAACACAACGAGATGCGTTTTTATTTAACTCTAATCAATAGTCGAAACTTTTCATTTTATTGATGTATAAGTGTAATAGAATATTAATAAAAATATACTTTTTCCGCAAGATAACAAGAGAACGAGTGTCCTTCGGAATTTCTATGAGGAGCTTGGATCGACTGGACAACGTTGCAAACTTTGCTTCAAGATATTGAGTAAAAACATGGCTAGGCATTTGCGTTTGAAGCATCCTAAAGTTTATCAACAAATGCAAGGTAGTTTGGAAAAGAGGAAAAAGCCAGCTTACGGTGAGCATCTTTAATACACGGATTGAAGTTTACATTATATTTACATTATATGTTTAATAATATGTTACATTGTTTTAGAGAGAACAAAGTCATTAAGATGTTGGGTAAAGAAATACTGCAGCAAAATTGGTAACACAAAGTACCAATGCGATATATGTGATAAAGTATTAAGTCTACCACACGGACTCTTTGGCAATATGAAGCGTCACATTCGTAGCAAACATCCTTATGTTTATGATCAGGAAGTTAATGATTTGATTGGTATCAGAATAGAAACTGTCGATACCCTAGCTTCTGACACCAAAGAGTATTTAGAAGACGTGGAAGAGTTTACAACAAATAAATCGGAAGAAGGAGGTGACGAGGACTCAGCACAAGAAGAAGCAGACTCCGAATCAGAACAGGTTGATAGTGGAACCGTGTTAAATGAAACTGATCCCAATTTTGAAAAGAAAATTAAATATTTTTGTACTAAACCTGTTTCGGGTAAAAGTAAGTATCTACGAGTATCAACCTATAGACAAAAACATTCACTGCAAATACATGTTCCAAACACAACACTATCGATAGTGATAGTGTTTTGCTTTAGTGTTGAATTTTGTCAAAGAGTATCAGTACCGTATTATCGTGGACAGACATGACATTGGACGTGATGTGACACCTATTGGGAATAAACTAGACAGGCAGATAATATTGAGTGTTTACCAATGATATTTATCTATAGTTGGAGAATAAACGTAAAGCCTTTGGCAAATTCGCTATTAATTGCACAATACATTTTATTTTGCTTTGACCCAGGGGCCTTCCGCTTACTATTTATAATTATTATATGTCTAAAAAGAAAACGAAATTAAGTAAAAAAAATACAGTCTAGTTGTCGTTAATATTGATGTTAGCACGCCATTGCAATACAGCGTGTGTGTGGAATGCCGCATCTAATACTCAGTACATAGATATCGTTGGTATCAATACAATGTTTCCAATCATGTACTTGTATGTGAAAATATGTGTGTTTTTTCTACGTCCTTAGACTTACTAAAAAAATTGTATTAATATAGTATTAATAAAATACATTAATATAGAAGATATCAATATCACAATGTCATTTGTTGCGAGTTAATTTATTTTTGAGTGAATATGACCGCTTTATACGATTTTTTTAGAAAGAGCATCGAATCCTATGTGGAATTTCTTTGAAACGATTGAGAAGAATCATTTGTACATGTGCTTGGGTTGCAACAAACAGTTATCGATTTACCCCCATAGTATCGCTAATTTGAAGCGACACATTAAAATGAAGCACAAGAAACAGTACGAATACATGATGAAATATTTGACACCGCGCAAAAGTTGTATTGAAAGTAAGTAATTGGCGTTGATATTATCATTATAGAAATTAAGAAGTAAAACTTTGTAATGGAACGCCGCATGGTTTCTTTAGACCAGCCTTTCTACTGGTTGGTTTCCATTGTAGTGGTAATGTCCATTGAACTTACTCTCATAACTGGCTAGGGCTCGGATAAATATGCGATATAAACTACAAAATATGTACATATAATACGGACAATAATTCTAAAATGTGTAGGTAAAACCAATTGTTTACAAATAAACCACGATAAATAAAATCGACAATTTCATTCTTCGTTACACTCTTTTACATTTCTTTTATTGTTAATTTTGTTTTATTTTATTTAGGTTAACAACAGCCATACTTAATTAATACTATTCAAACCTTAACATACGTTTAACACTTTTTAGTAGGCCAATTACAATTATACACTAAAATAATGACTGATAATGGACGTATAATATTAAGAATAAAAACAAAAATAAGAATGAATAAATTTAAATGAAATTTAATAACCTGTATCTTATAAAGGAAAATCAATACGAGGAAATGAGAGAAAAAGAACATTAAAATAAGATAAATAGTACATAAACATCAATACATATTAATAATAAAATAATACATACATTAAACATATATACACAACATTATTAAATATTTAATATAGAAATATATAACTTCATACTATAGTTTTGTACAATATACAATTACATGTTTTTTTTAAATTTTCAAAATTAAAACGCTTTATACTCGTATTGGCTTGAATGATCTTTCGACGTCGCAAGATGTGACTGGACCAAACTTAACTTTGCATAACTCCGCAAGTGAGTTTGGCACGGCCAGGTTGCCGTCTAATCTTCCTCGCCGTACACTGTTAATATTTTTTTAGTATATTAAACCTTTATTTTTGTCAAACATGTACTATCGTCTGTGCTTAGCGACCGATCTGGGAAATCTTCGATATATTTTTCCAACTTGTAACGCTATACGTCTTTAATACACGGATTGAAGTTTACATTAATGATTTCTTTTAATATGTTACATTGTTTTAGCGAGACAAAAGTCATACAGATGTTGGGTTAAGAAATACTGTAGCAAAATTGGTGGCAGAAAGTACCAATGCGATATATGTGATCAAATACTAAGTCTACCACTCGGACTCTTTGGTAATATGAAGCGTCACATTCGTAGCAAACATCCTCATGTTTATGATCAGGAAGTTAATGATTTGACTGGTATCATGATAGAAACCGTAAATACCCCAGCTTCTGACACCAAAGAGTATTTAGAAGACGTGGAAGAGTTTACAACAAATAAATCCGAAGAAGGAGATGACGAGGACTCAGCACAAAAAGAAGCTGACTCCGAATTAGAACAGGTTGATAGTGGAACCGTGTTAAATGAAGCTGATCCCAATTTCGAAGAGAAAATTAAATATTTTTGTACTAAACCTGTTTCGGGTAAAAGTAAGTATCTATTAACCTATAGACAAGAACATTCACAGCAACTACATGTTCCAAACACAACATTATCGATAGTGATAGTGTTTTGTTTTAGTGTCTGTGATGCGTGACAGTTAATTAGTTTTTTTTTTGTGATGGCTACGGCTGCTCAAAAGTGTCATTTATTATTTTTTTTTGTTTTTTAAATGTTGCTATGCACGGAACTGGCAGATGGGCAGTAACAAAATATTATTTAAATTGTTATTATTATTTTCTTATCAATATATATTTTATAAGTTGATTTATATATAATACAGTAGTTTATTATAATAAAATTTATGTCGATAAGCAGGGATAGTGACGATGAGGTTTATGTTTCTTGTAGTTCTCATAGCAGTAGTGACAATGATGTTAGCTTTTATAACATTCCATCCCTTTCGAGCACAATTGACTCGGTATTTTGTGACGTTCAGAGTATTCCGGCTCATTTTTCAGATATGCTGGCATCATTTGATAATAAAAATCTTAATGCTATCCTTATCTCTGAATCCTGGTTAAAAATGTGCCTTCAGTCCTCGTCTTTACCATGATTTAATTTAATTCGTAACGATCGCATTGGTTGCGGCGGAGGTGGCGTTGATATTTACCTACGATCCCATATAGCATTATCGATAATTAGCACATCCTTTCAATCGCTATCCAATACTGGTGAGCACGTTTTCGTTGAAGTTCTCTTTTGTCGTACTAAACTATTACTTGGTGTCTACTATTGTCCCTCTCTTCGTATTAACTTTTTTGCTTCTTTTGTAAAATTATTGGAGGACTTCTCGCCTTCCTATGAACATAGCATAATTATGGGTGACTTTAATACTTGCCTTCTCAAGCAAGATAGTCGTTCTTCTTGTTTTGAATCTCTTATAATGGCTAACAATATGACTATTATTCCACTTGATGCTACACATAATTTTCTCAACTTAACTCCTTCACTTCTTGACTTAATAATTGTGTCATCTTTGAACTTCGTTAGTAAGCATGGTCAGTGCGCTGCGGACGCTTTTTCTTGTCATGACTTGATTTATCTTTCCTAAAAAATCCGCCCACCCAAAGGTAAACTCAAAATTCTTCTGCAGCGCAATTGTCGTGGAATTGATTTGGACTATTTGCGGAGTGATGCTCGTGAAATTGGCTAGGGTAACGTTGTAAATGCTGTATCAATCGATAGCAAAGTGTCTGAGTTTAACAATACATTGATGAACCTTTACGATAAACATGCACCAGTATGGCCAGTTAAAATGAAACACCTCCCTTCACCTTGGCTAGACCAGAATGTTAGGACTGCTATGATAAAAAGCTCACAGCTAAGCCCAGATTTAAGTACAGTCCTACAGACGAGAATAAGCGCATCTATAATGAGCGTCGTAATCACTGCAATAGGTTGTGTAGGGATGGACAACGCCGACATATTCATAGTTCTTTAGAAACTGATGATCGAGCTAAAGTCTGGAAGTTTCTTAGGTCGCTGGGAGTTGGTAAGTCACGTCAAGATAGTTTCCCAAAAAATTTAAACCTTGATGCTGTTAATCATCATTTCTCTAATTCGGTTGCCTTCGACGGGCCGACTAAAACATCTACCTTAAATTATCTTTCCACGCTTCCAACTGCCAACCATCCTCCGTTTTCTTTAAAAGAGTTTACTGATTCTGATGTTAGAATCTATTTCGTCCAATGCTGTTGGCATTGACCATATGAGTCGTAATGTAATGGGTCGGTTTACCTGTGATCCGGTTTATTCTTAATTTTTCTATCAGCAGCGGGGAATTTCTTTCCCTTTGGAAGGAAGCTCTTATTACTCCTCTCCCGAAAAAAGCCAACCCTTCTAACTTTTTTATTTCCGACCTATTTCTTCTATACTTCCCTTTCTATGAAAACCATAAATAACCAAATTACTCCTTTTCTCATACGTAACAACCTTCTTAATTCCTTTCAATCCGGCTTCCGACCAGGACACAGCACTGTGACTGCTCTTGGTAGGATCACTGATGACATTAGGTATAGTATGTCGCAACAGCAACTCACTGTAATATCATTGCTTAATTTCAGCAATGCTTTCAATAACGTTGATTTTGACATTTTGATTGCACTTTTACGCTCTCTTAACATATCTCCAATGGTAATCTCTTGGTTTCATAGTTACCTGCATGGGCGTCGGCAATGTGTTCGCATTGATGAGAGGTTCTCTTCTTGGTGAGCAATCAGTGCTGGCGTTCCACAGGGCGGCGTTTTATCTCCTCTCCTCTTCTCTTCTCGATCTTGATTAATTCAATTTCCTGCAGTCTTACCTCATCCTACCACCTGTATGCAGATGATTTACAAATTTACACTCACCGGCAACTTGAAAACCTGCACGAAGCCATTGAGGAAATCAATAATGATCTTCGTCATATTTCGACGTGGAGTAAACAATATGGCCTCAAGCTAAACGCAACGAAAACGCAAATGATTGTTATTGGCAGCTCTAGAATGGTATCCAAGATAGATTGGTTTCGCTTGCCGCAGGTTATTATAGACGACATGTACATTAAAATTAGTGACAGTCTAAAAAATCTGAGTATACTCATTGATAGGTAGCTATCTCGGGCAACTCAATTAGTTGAGACCAGCCGCAAATTGTTTGCGTCTGTCGCATCTCTCAGACGGTTACGTAATTTCTTACTTATTGTCATGAAAATTGCGCTTGCCCAAACTCTTCTTCTTCCAGTTCTTGATTATGTTGATGCCTGCTATCTGGATTTAACCGAAGAACAGCTCAACAAGCTTGAACTCCTACAAAACTTTTGCATCCTTTTTATTTATGGTCTGAGGAAATTTGATCATGTTTCCATTTATCGCAAGGAGCTGAAGTGGTTACCCGTTAGGCTTCGCCGGAATGCTCATATTCTTAATCTTCTTTATGGCATCTTATTCCTTCCTCACACACTACCTTATCTTAAGGAGCGATTTGTAATCTCCCATCAATCCAACTCCCGACTTCTGCGCTCATCTTCAACTCTCCAACTTAAGATGCCATTGCATACCTCCCAGTGTTACGACAAGTCCTTTACTGTTCAGGCTATTCGTTTGTGGAAGGCTTTACCTTTGTTTATTCAACAAGCAAAATCATTGAATATATTAAAAAATATGGCAAAAGAACACTACCTAACTTTAGTGTGACTTGAATTGCTTAGGTATTTTTATGTTTTGAAATTATGTTTTAGAAATTTTATATTTATAGATGTAAGAAAATATATGGTAGTTTACGATATTCATATACATGTATTGGTTTTATTATTTCTTTATAAATATATGTATATTTGCATTTATTTATCAATTTTTATCTATTGATTAGTAATTCTTTATACACCGCCGTCCTTTTCCTGTGAATTATATAATTCCAAAGGTTGTCTGGCAGAAATCGCTTAAAGCGATAAGACCGCCCATTGTACCACCGCTTATTTTTAATTTAATTGTATTGTATTTATTTTCTTTTTCGGTGTACAATAAAGAATTTTTGTATTTTGTTGTACTTGTATATGTGTGTTTTTTCTACGTCCTTAGACTTACTAAAGAAATTGTATTAATATAGTATTCATATAATATATTAATGTAGAGATATCAATATCACAATGTCTTTTGTTGAGAGTTAATTTATTTGTAAGTGAATATGACCGCCTTATAAATTGTTCACGATTTTTTTAGAAAGAGCGTCAAATCCTATGTGGAATTTCTTTGAAACGATTGAGGCGAATCATTTGTACATGTGCTTGGGTTGCAACAAACAGTTATCAATTTACCCCCATAGTATCGCTAATTTGAAGCGACACATTAAAATGAAGCACAAGAAACAGTACGAATACATGATGAAATATTTGACACCGCGCAAAAGTTGTATTGAAAGTAAGTAATTGGCGTTGATATTATCATTATAGAAATTAAGAAGTAAAACTTTGTAATGGAACGCATGGTTTCTCTAGACCAGTCTTGCTACTGGGTGGTTTCCATTGTAGTGATTAATGTCCATTGAACTTACTCTCATAACTAGGGCTTGGATAAATATGCGATATAAACCACAAATATATACGTAAAATACCGGCAACACAACTATATGTTTTTTTTTAAGTTTTTTCAAAATTAAAATGCTTTATACTCGTATTGGCTTGAATGATCTTTCAACGTCACAGGATGTGACTGGAGCAAACTTAAATTTGCATAACTGCAAGTGAGTCTGGCACGTCCAGGTTGCCTTCTAATCTTCCTCACCGTACACTATTAATATTTTTTTAGTATATTAAACCTTTATTTTTGTCAAACACGCACTACCATCTGTGCTTAGCGACTGATCTGGGAAATCTTCGGTATATTTTTCCAACTTGAAACGCTATGGTTGTTTATCCGTCGGCATTTTTAAGTAAGAGAGAACACAAAGCTATTTAATTTTCATGTTTGAGAGGCCACAGGTACGTAAAAAATAGCGAACGAAAATATCACGTATTATTGAAAATATTGATTATTGCAAGTTTTGTGAAGAAATATAGCATAAACATATAAATATGGAAAACTATGGAAAATAAAAGTACCTAACCCTTTTCCAAATATTATTATTTATGTACGAAACAAATAAGGAATATCAACCATTTAAATCCAAAATATGTAATTACTAATTATATATTAATCCGGGTCCTACTTATAGCATAACTGCGAACTTTGGAAGATTATTTTTTTTTCTTGTATAATATCAAGTGAGAGGACGAACAAGTCGTGCACCTCATGGTAAACGACGCGCCTGTCCATAACAATTGCAGTGCCACTCAAGAGCTTTAAATCACAAAGATCTGAGGGGCACTCCCACTGCGCCCGTCACCCTGCGACATAAGTTGACAAGTCCCATGCGCCTGTAATTTCACCAGCACCCTTACCGTTCAATGCTGGCATTACTGCTTGGCGGCAGAAATAAGTAAGGTGGCAGTACTTCCCTGAATGAACTCTTTCACAAGGAGCTTTACTGCTGCTATTATTATCCCCGTATTCGGCTTCTTAGCTATAGAAATATGATCTTCTCTATTGCTATTGGGACCTCTAAGTGGCAGTCCGGTATGGTAACCGTTCGACCACGGAGGTAGAAACTCTGAGTGGTACCGCAACTGTTATGGATAGGCGTGTCGCTTACTACGAGGCGCACGACTTGTTCGTACCGTCACTTAGTTATTATATAAGGAAAACAATTATAAAATATATTAGTATTGTATTATATTATATTATTGTTATTTATTTACCGAATTAATTTTTCAGGTGGCGTGGATTAGAAATATATAGCCATATTGTAAATAATACACGTATAATAGCAGTAAACGAAATTATTTCTATTGCTCTAAAAAGAAAGGCGGTTATAAGGATAGACTTAAACTCGGGTGGAGCGGTGAAATTGTCTGTGGAAGCTTTTAACATTCTCATGCGCCATCAAAGTATCGTGTTACAAAATCAGGACATTATGTTAAGGTTGGATACTGAAATTGCGAATTAACGTTAAGCTCAAAATTTAACTTCACACGTTGTTAATTAACACCATAATATATGATTTTACTTATGTAACGAAAGAAGGAAAGAAGGAAAAACGTTTATTCATTAAATTTAGTCACTATACACACTTAAATCTAATACTTAACACTATATTAACAAATGGCTGCGTGATTTTAAGTTAGTAAGTGTGTATAGTGGCGCAAAAGAGGAAAAGGATACGTCTCAGCATCTCAGGCGAGGCAGACGCTAATTTTCAGTCGTTTCTGTTTCAGCGTCGGCTGAGACCTAAGGAAATGGTACATGCCCCGTGTATCCTCTGCTTTATGCCACACTACACATTTACAATACACGTGTGATACATTATTATATAAAAGCGACGAATACATGTACATAAATTTAAATAAGTTGAAGACAAGAGGAGTATCCGGCATCAGAGTTTTTTAAATGCAGATCTTGAGATTGGCTGACTAGATGGAGGAGGCAGATTATTCCTGCATTTAGGTGCCTGATACCGGAAGCTACCCTCAAAGGTTCTGGTTTTATGGAACGGCGTTAACAATAAAGAACTATTAACTCTGCGTGAATTATAGGAATAAGTACGCCGTTTTATCTTGGCATATAGACAAGGTGGACTTTTGTATCTAACAACAGAGTGCATCAATGTAGAAAAATGCAAAGTCCTTGTAGATTCCATATTAAGAATACCGTGTAGGCTTAGCACTGGTGTTATGTGACTGTACAGTTCGACATTTCTTCTATTTATCGAACACACAATTCGTTACTGCCGGCTGGTCGAGCTCTTGGTATGGCGCATGCCGCAGCATAAGCACACCCCATAATCTAAACCTGTCCACATGCCGCCGACAGAGGGCGACCCCACAGCAGGTTGGATATAGTGCTCGTACATTATACAAGTATATTCTAAGAGTAAAGGAATATTGATTACATAAGCGTGACTTCGCATTAGTCATGTTCAGGAGAAAACAGGTTATTTTTAAAATCGTGGTCCATAACGTGATTAAACACACCCGCGACAGAGTTTCCCTAGTGCGGGGCTATGTTCAGTGTGCGTTATTATCATCATTTTTTATGTGTCATATTTGCTTATTCTTTCATTTTACTAGTTGTACTTACGCCACAAATTATCATCCTTTTATTAGTATTATTATATTATCACTTTTTGTAATAGCTTACAATATTTGTAAAACTTGATGTTTGTAATTTATTTACATTGCAACTGCGTTTTCAAACACGATTTTATCAGGCTGGGTGAGAGCCTGGATATCTGTCACACAGGTTAGTTCCTAGTATAGACTCCAATCTCTTACAAAGGTACTCTAATACTTAAGCATTTTCATATAAATTACATTATAAAACTTTGTACCCTTTGTAAAGATTATTATTATTATTACGTTATTTTGAGTAATCATCATCGTGTTTTATCAAATTTTAATTACGAAATGTTAAAAATCTTGATAAAATAAATATTTAGTTTATTGTTTTTGTGAACTCATATTATTTTAAGTCGATATGTGACCAAATCCTGTTAAAGAACTCGAAAGACGAATAAACGACTACCTTTTCTAGTAGAAAAGTCAATGCTGATGAGATTGGGTAACCCACATATTATAATCAACGTGGTCATATGCACTATTCTATGGTAATATTACAGATATTACAAGACGCAGAACATAGGAGAATTCAGGCAAAGATGATTAAGTGTTAAGTCAAATTCATTGTAATGATCTTACTCTCTTTACTTTCATCCTGTATTTTGAATTACATTTTTCAACACAATGCGTTGTATTTTTTAACATTAATCAATAATTGTAACTTGCCATTTTATGGATATGTATATGGAAGAGAATTACTAATGAAAAATATACACCTTTGTCCTCAAGGAAACAGCAGAAGGAGTGTCTTTTGGAAAGTCTATGAGAAGCTTGAATCGACTAGACAACGTTGCAAACTTTGCTCCAAGATATTGAGTAGAAACATGGCTAGGCATTTGCGTTTAAAGCATCGTAAAGTTTATGGACGAATGCATAGATAGTTTGAAAAAGAAAAAAAAAGCCTGTTATCGGTGAGCGCCTTTAATACACGAATTGAAGTTTACTTTAATTTTTGCTTCTAATATTGCTTCTAATATGTTCGATTTTTCAGGGAGATCAAAATCAACCTTATGTTGGGCAAAGAACTACTGCAGCAATGTTAGTGGCAGAAAGTACCGGTGCGATATTTGTGATTTAATATTAATTCCATAAGGTGCTTTGGTAATATGAAACGTCACTTTAGTCGCATACATCCTTATATTTATAATCAGGAAATGAATGATGTGACTGGTATCGTGATCGAAACTGTAGATACTCCAGCTTCTGCCACCAAAAAATATTTAGACGACGTGGAACATTGTACATCAAATAAATCTGAAGAATCTGAAGAAGGAGGTGATGAGGACTCAGCCCAAGAAGAAGCATACTCCGATTTAGAACAGGTTGATAGTGGAACTGTGTTGAACAAACCTGATCCCAATTTTGAAGAGAAAATTAAAAATGTTTGTACTAAACCTATTTCGGAAAGAAGTAAGTATCAATACAATGTTTGTTATCATGTATTTGTTTGTAGAAATATGTGTATTGTTTTTGTTTCCTTAGCATTTACTAAAGAAAATGTTTAATATCTCAAAGTGAGTTGTTGAGAGATAATTTATTTGTAAAAAGCCTGTGTACGGCGAGAAACACACGAATTGAAGTTTACATTAATGATTTCTTATAATGTGTTAGATTTTTTAGGGAGACTAAAATAAAACTTATGTTGGGAAAGAAATACTGCAGCAATGTTGGTGGCAGAAAGTACCAGTGCGATATTTGTGATAAAACACTAAGTCTGCCAATCGTACTCTTTGGTAATATGAAACGTCACATTCGTAGCAAACATCCTTGTGTTTATGATAAAACGAATGATGTGGTTGGTATCAGAATCGAAAATGTACATATCCCGGCTTCTGAGACCAGAGAGTATTTAGAAGACGTGGAACAGTTTACAACAAATAAATTCGAAGAACCAACGTGATCACATGCACTATTCAATGGTAATATTACAAATATTTCAGGATGCTGGAGACTTCAGACAAAGAAGATTAAGTTTTAAGTCGATTTCATTATAATGATCCTGTCTACTGCCATTGTACTGCCTCCGAAAATTATGTTAAGGCTTGACTGATTTACTTTTATCCTGTATTTTAAATTAAATTTTTCAACACAAAGAGATGCGTTGTTTTATTAACACTAATCAATAGTCGACATTTTTCATTTTATTGATGTATAAGTTTTATAGAATATTAATAAAAAATGTACTACTTTGTCCGCAAGGTAACAGGAGAAGGAGTGTCCTTTGGAATTTCTATGAAGAGCTTGGATCGACTGGACAACGTTGCAAACTTTGCTCCAAGATATTGAGTAAAAACATGGCTAGGCATTTGCGTTTGAAGCATCCTAAAGTTTATCGACAAATGCAAGGTAGTTTGGAAAAGAGGAAAAAGCCAGCTTACGGTGAGCATCTTTAATACACGGATTGAAGTTTACATTAATGATCTCTTTTAATATGTTACATTGTTTTAGAGAGACCAAAATCATACAGATGTTGGGTAAAGAAATACTGCAGCAAAATTGGTGATAGAAAGTACCAATGCGATATATGTGATAAAATACTAAGTCTACCAAACGGACTCTTTGGTAATATGAAGCGTCACATTCGTAGCAAACATCCTTATGTTTATGATCAGGAAGTTAATGATTTGATTGGTATCAGGATAGAAACTGTAGATACCCCAGCTTCTGACACCAAAGAGTATTTAGAAGACGTGGAAGAGTTTACAACAAATAAATCGGAAGAAGGAGGTGACGAGGACTCAGCACAAGAAGAAGCAGACTCCGAATTAGAACAGGTTGATAGTGGAACCGTGTTGAACGAAGCTGATCCCAATTTCGAAGAGAAAATTAAATATTTTTGTACTAAACCTGTTTCGGGTAAAAGTAAGTATCTGTCAACCTATAGACAAGACCATTCACAGCAACTACATGTTCCAAACACAACACTATCGATAGTGATGTTTTGTTTTACTGTTGAATTTTGAATTTTACAGTACCGTATTATCGTGGACAGACGTGACATTTGACGTGATGTGATACCTATTGGGAATGTGCTAGGCAGGCAGATAATATTGAGTGTTTATTTATGATATTTATCCATAGTTGGGGAATAAACGTAAAGCCCCTGGCAAAGTCGCTATTAATTGCTCAATACATTTTATTTTGCTTTGACCCAGGGGCCTTCCGCCTTAAATAGTAATATTTATAATTATTATATGTCTAAAAAGAAAATGGAATTAACTAAAAAAAGTACAGTCGAGTTGTCGATAATATTGATGTTAGCACGCCATTGAAACACAGTGTGTGTGTGTGGAATGCCGCATCTAATACTCTAGTACATAGATATCGTTGGTATCAATACAATGTTTCCAATCATGTACTTGTATGTAAAAATATGTGTGTTTTTTCTACGTCCTTAGACTTACTAAAGAAATTGTAATAATATAGTATTAATAAAATGTATTAATATGACAATGTCATTTGTTGAGAGTTAATTTATTTGTAAGTGAATATGGTTCCTTTATAAAGTTATCACGATTTTTTTAGAAAGAGCATCGAATCCTATGTGGAATTTCTTTGAAACGATTGAGGAGAATCATTTGTACATGTGCTTGGGTTGCAACAAACAGTTATCAATTTACCCCCATAGTATCGCTAATTTGAAGCGACACATTAAAATGAAGCACAAGAAACAGTACGAATACATGATGAAATATTTGACACCGCGCAAAAGTTGTATTGAAAGTAAGTAATTGCCATTGATATTATCATTATAGAAATTAAAAAGTAAAACTTTGTGATGAAACGCATGGTTTGTTTAGACCAGCCTTGCTACTGGTTGGTTTCCATTGTAGTGGTAATGTCCATTGAACTTACTCTCATAACTAGGGCTCGGATAAATATGCGATATTAATTTAAAAATATGTACTTATAATACGAGCAAAAGATTTTAAAATATGGTACAAATATGTAGATAAAAACAACTGCTTAAACAACAATTTAAATGAAATTGAATAACCTGTGTCTTATAAAAGAAAATTAATAGGAAGAAGTGAGAGAAAAAGAACATTAAAATAAGATAAATAGTACATGAACATCAGTACATATTAATAATAAAATAATACATACATTAAACATATATTATACTTTTATATATTTAATATAGAAGTATATAACGTCATATTATAATTTTGTACAATACACAATTACGTTTTTTTTTAATTTCAAAATTAAAACTCTGATCGGAACAACGCTTTATACTGGTATTGGCTTGCAATGATCTTTCGACGTCGCAGGATGTGACTAGAGCAAACTTAACTTTGCATAACTCCGCAAGTGAGTCTGGCACGTCCAGATTGCCTTCTTAATCGTCCTCGCCGTACACTGTTATATTTTTTAGTATATTTTAATATTTTATCTTTTATCCTTTATTTTATGTTTATTTTTGTCAAACACCGGGCTGATGACCGGGCTGGGAAATCTTCGATATATTTTTCCTACTTGAAACGCTATAGTCGTTTATCCGTCAGCATTTCTAAGTAAAAGAAAACACAAAGCTATTTAATTTTCATATTTGAGAGGCCACAGGTACGTAAAAAATTATGCGCGAAAATATCACGTAAATTGAAAATATTAATTATTGCAAGTTTTGTGTAGATATATAGCCTAAACATATAAATATGAAAAAGTATAATTATTACAGTTTACATTACAAATATTATTATTTATGTACAAAACAAATTGAGGAATGTCAATCATTTAAATCCAAAATATGTAATTACTAATGACATGTTAATCCGGGTCCTACTTATAACATAATTGCGAACTTCGGAAGATTACTTTTTTTTATAATATCAAGTGACGGGACGAACAAGTCGTGCACCTCATGGTAAGCTACATGCCTGTCTATAATAATTGCAGTGCTACTCAAGAGCTTTAAATCACAAATATCTGAGGGGCACTGCCACTGCGCCCGTCACCCTGCGACATAAATTGACAAATTCCATGTGCCTGTAATTTCACCAGCACCCTTACCCTTCAAAACCGGAACACAGTAATGCTGACATTACTGCTTGGCGGCAGAAATATACCTATTTCTAGGTGGCACTACTTCCCTGGACGAACTCTTTCACAAAGAGCTTTACTGCTGCTGTTATTATCCCTGTATTCAGCTTCTTAGCCATAAAAATATGATCTTCTCTATTCTAGAAGCAGACGAAGAAGAAGCACCACTTAGCTTTGACAAATACTACTTCGACCTTGAAAGCGAAGGACATTACAAATGCAAAGAATGTTCAGAAGTAATACAAAGCACCGAAGAAGACCAGTCGTCCTTATTTAACCACATTAAAGATAATCACCCAGACCAGATATTAGCGTATCAGGAGGAAGAAAATGCTGAATACAACATTGTGATTCTCAAAAATGATGATGTTGCAACGATTGGACAGTGAATTTATGGATTTTCGTTAAAGGTTCTTGGATTGATTACGTTCTTACAAAGGATGCCTGTGTAGTTACTCGTATGTGTGCGTTAGTGTATTAAATAAGTCTTTTCATAGGTTTAGGTCTAAGGTTGGCCAGAGCAAAGACAATTTGTTTAACTGGCGATTTTCGGATGTTTGAATTGCACACGTCGTGCCCTGCGTACCCAAACACTGCACGCTTCAGGATTTAAAGACGTTTATTAGTGACATGGCCAGTTCTGGACTTCAGTAATAGAGTATATACTTACATACGAAGGAGAATATTGCATTTGTTTAAATAGGATATCTTGCGTTGGTAAATTTTCTCATACATAATTTTGTGTTGGATTTTTGCCGATCACATATATATTTTATGGTATTGAAACAATCAGATGGTCCACGTGATTAAAAGTGATAATTGCCTTCTCTGTGATATCAAGAGAATACATATTATTCGTAATGAATATTTTCTTGGAATGAATCATAACGACGTCGTTTTCGCTATTCGCTAAAAATCAATACAATTGCGGTGTAATGAAAGTAATTGGCTTAATAATACTAAGGTAATTTTTGGGACTAAGTGTAAGTGTTAATTATTCTCATCACATTTTCGTAGAATAATAGTTATTTGTTATGCAAGGCTGCAAAGTTGTTTAACGCGAGTGCTTGTATTGAAACCTGAGCAAGCGAAGGAAGCTTAGATTGAGAAGAGAGAAAAATAGATTCCTGAGCGTAGCGAGGGAGAGAGACGCAAAACAACTTTGCTGCCGAGCGAAACACACAACTTTTCACCTCTCTTGGTGAAAGAAAATGGTAGATGAAAGAAAAACGGTTGATCTATAAATCACCAGTTTTTCTTTTTCGGAAAAAAAGTTCACCTTCAGATGCGTTCTGAATGAACTGATACTATTACTGTTGTAAATTCCATGTAGTAACATGTTCCCAAAACAGTAAGACCTTTTGATGTAACAGTTTTTTTTCTTCTTGCATTACCGCTCCGCCGTATTGATTAAGTAAGGAACAAACATTCCTGGTACATTGCCTAGTTTTGTACCAAGTATAATTTTTCATGTCCCAGCTGGTAATATAAAATGGTTATGTACAGGTAACGAGGGATTTTGCTACGTTACAAAGAATATACCTGGTAAGTGGTACTTTCTTGTTTAACATACGGTATTAATGCTGCACGTGTACGGTACACGGATTGCCTATGATTTCTTTGCTGGCAATCTGTGTACGACGTCAGCCCGGAGGCACATGGTGGTGCGTAGGCGAGTCAAATGCCAATACAATATTACTGTAGGAGCGGATATTACAGCAAGTAAACGTACAAATATTATTGATATATGTTTATTATTTCTGAATAAAAAACAAGAGAAAATATTCAATTTAAGTCCAACTCTAAAAGGAATGACCAATGTTTAACGTTTTAAATATTTCTCTGTTTGTACCTTAGTTTGGTTTTAGTTTCTAGTCAGTAGGGATTTTGGGAATAATGATTCCCGAATTTCCCGCAGAATCGAATGCCAGGAGAGATTTTGGTAAATGTTATGCTGAAGTCTTTCGTACCAGCTGGTTGGACCAGGAGAAAATAAATCCTTTGTAATTTGTAACACTACAGGGAAAGTAATATTCTGTCAACCGTTTTGTCCATATAATTTGAGTCTAGATCCAACACTGAATTATTTGATGTTTGGTGTCTACACACCAAACATCAAATAATTTGGTTTGGTATCTACAAAGTTTATCGACAGTGCTCGCCTTTTAATTGTATTTTTCTCATGAAATAACTATTAAATTAATGAATTTAGTTACATAAAATTAAATAATTTTAAGCAACTTTTTATTAAGAAATTAGCCTATACAATTTGATGTTAAACGTAGTATAAAAATATAGTAGTATAAATAAGTAGTTAATAAGTTTTATGTATATTAATTCCAATATACGCATTAGACAAAGGAGTACAGTCGCTATCAAAAACACCAAGTTTATTTGGTATTAGACTCGTGTTCGTGGTTTTAATCATAATAAAATCAGATAAGTGACAAATGGTTTCATTGGTTTATTTATTAAGTCACTTTCCGCATACCGTTTTGAATTTTTGCATTTATTTTCACAAAATTGGTAAGTTAATTATTATAACGGACGATGTAATGCCATTGAGGTGACTTATTTATCTTAAGTTAAAAAGAAACTAATGTATACCGCAAATAGGTACATTTTGGTAACGTAATTATTTTACCATTATGAGAAATCGCTTGGATTTCGCATTGTTCCTTGACTATACTGAATAAAGGGCTAGCCCCACGATTCGGTCTATCAAAGAAAGTACAAAGCAAACACAAATCAGATCTACAACAAATTCTTAATTTCAGATTACATTGGCTATCATATGGTAAGACTATCCAGTGGTGGGCACTTGTTGGTACGCAATGGATTCACATATTCCAAAAATAGCCAAGCAAGTAATAGGTACTATTGTTCGAAAAGACAGACAATGAACTGCAAGGCAAGTATTAAGCTGAATCAAGACGGAAGAATATTAGTTTTGAAGGAGGACCATACTCATACTGCATTCTTTGAAATTCCTCTACAAGTGACTTCGCAGTATTAAGACGACGAATGTAACTTTAATTGTGACACAGATGGATTGTCCTTTGTGTACGAATGACAGAGTTGTCACTATGTTACAGAATGCTTGTTTTATTAGAAATAAATCATTTATAATTACAAAATAAGGAATTCAGCTCGTATAATAAAATCTTTAGCGCTTATTAATATTATTATTAACATCTTTCTCTTTTTTCTACCATTACATTATAAGGCTTATGCCATGCATTTATTAAGAATTTTTCCATAAGAAGTAGTGTGTCATGTATAGTTAAGCAATAGACATTAATAATAATAAATGTGTATGCAATGTTTGGTGGTTTTTATTTTGACTGCTTATTCATTAGCTGTCACCATACAGCAACTACAGTAGTGATGTACCCATACGCTTGATTGAATTTGGATATACGTTGCGGTACACACTAAGGTTTATTCGAAATCAATTTGATCACGCACACGCCGCGTGGCCGCGGCGCAGCGACCGCGTGCATCTAACTGTCATGGCAAAATACGCTCTATTTGTTTAGTTCTTACATTTTAACTTAAAGGAGCGTCCCGGGCGCGCGTGCGAGATTGGCTTGTCTTTGCTCTACGCGGCGACCGCGCGTTTGTATTATTCCGAATTTTAATGTTGTTGTCTAGTAAATACAATTCAGATTTGCCATTAATCTGTGTAAAAGCGCGGTAATTGGGCGGTCGCCACGCGGCAGCTTTCTACTTTCGCATCGTGTAACTGGGCGCTCATAGGGTTGGTTATATTTATGACTTCAAATTTCAGCTTATCAATATGCCTGGATTCCAAACTCTCGGGGCAAGAACCTACTAATGCTGAACAGCTATACATATTCACAAATGAAACAGTCTAGCAACTACTATTGTTCTAAGAAAGACGCAGGTTGCAAAGCTAAGGTGAAAATTGATAAAGATGGGAAGATAGACAATTTTTACTCTCGCACTTGCCATAACCACGATCCTCCCAAATATATAGTTACAACTACAGGGAAGTATATAAAATTGTAAATAATAAGTACAATTAAAATTCAAAAAACGTACGATTGAAATAAACATATTGTTTCCATCAGAACCTATAAAGCGCAATGATTGCGGCAGTATTTTTAAGTAATTAAATTAATCTTGTTGTGATTGATTAAATTAAAAAGTGTGACTGATTCCATTAAGATCCACTTGATAAGCGTTCGGTTTTTTTCAATATACCATCTGGGTAAGATAATCTCAAACAGTTTGATTAGTGCGCCCGTAGAACTGTGTGCAGAGCGTTGAACTTTTGCTTTTTTAGCATGTGCTCCTTGAAAGTAAGTTTTTGCACAATTTATTGCGACGCTCTCTTAAATACGAGTAATAGGTACTAGCGTAAATAAATATAAATATTGTCTACATAATAAAACTATTAAAGTTTATATTCGTTTAATTTGTTAGAAATGACTTGTATACCCAAACTTTTTCGATATTGGCTCGAATAATCGTCGTGTTTGGCCTCTTAGTATAGGAAATCTCTAGTTTAAAATTAAGTTTCATAGCAGTAGAGCTCCTTGTGAAAGAGTCCGTTCAGGCGATGTACCACCTTATTCTAGTACTACTACTTTTATTAATGTGAACATTACTGCGTTCGTTTTGTAGTGTAGGTGGTGGTGCTGGTGAAATCACAGGCACATGGGACTTGGCAAGTTATGTCTCTGAGTGATAGGCGCAGCGGCAGTGCCCCTTAGATATTTTTTGATTTAAAAGTTGGAATGGCATTGCAACTGCTTATAGACAGGCGTATCGCTTACCACGAAGCGCACGACTTGATCGTCCCTTTCACTTGATATCATAAAAAAAAACACTAATAAGTCATACAAATAATACTAGACCACGTACGTTGCTCTGATCCCAAAGTAAGTAACTAAAGCACTTGTGTTATGGGAATCGGAAACAACGACAGTACCACAAACATCCAGACCTGAGACAATATAGAAAAGGTAGATTCTACATTGGCCCGGCCGGGGATCCAACCCGGGACATCAGAGACGGCAACACCAAGAAAACCGGTGCTCGTGTGCAAACAAGTGCTCGATCACGGAGGTCCTCAATATATTGATGTGATCTGACACATAATGTGAAGAAATTGTGATCCATGAACAATATGGTTTCAAAGAGGATCTAGTCAAAGAAATAGAAAAGGGTATGTTGAAGTGGTAATGGCCGTGGCCATGGATCGGATGAATGAATGTAGATTAACGATGTAAATAGCTAAAATTAATTTTCTAAAGATAAGATTAAATATGTATGGAGCTAACATGGAAGGCATCATTGGAAAAGAACGGCCACGAAGAACATTATCAGATGAAACTGAGCGTGTTCGTAAAAAGGCTGGAGTATGGCTTATATGAAAAGATTGATAAATGTAAAGGAAGTAAGAGAGGATCAGTCAGGATCGTGCTAAGTGTCGGTCCATAGTCTCTGGCTACCCTAATGAGAATCTAAGGGGGTGAGTAAGAGTACAAGCAAATTATACGACATTGTAATAAATTGCTATATGAAATATATACGTTCGTCTGCCTACATAATTTTTTCACACGTTAATGTGTCTGTCTCACAACACAGCTTCGTCACATCTCTGTAGGCAGGGTTTTGTGTGGGTAATACTTAATAATAGATTCATCATCATATTAATATTTTTTTGCTAGATAGTACGTAATGGTAGATAAAAAGGAACAAAATTGTAAGATTTTATTTTATACAATTTGCTACATATCTCATCCAGCACCAATTTCTGATTCTGAACTAGAATTACAATTTGAACTTGAATGTTTGTAATCTTTTCGGATTTCGGATTACGGATTGCACAGTTGTATCTTCTTCTTGAGGTGTCATCTCCTACCGGAGGTCGGCTATCATTAGGACTATCTGTATTTTAGACACAGCTTCACGGAACAAAGATCTTGTGCTCAGGTTGAACCACGTCCGGAGATTCTTAAGCCACGAAGTACGCCTTCTTCAGGTGGTCGCTTTTCCTGTATCTTCCCTTACATAATTAGACGGAGTAGGTCGTATTTATCATTAAGCATTATACTACCAAAGTACTGTAGTTTGC